AAAAAGATCATTTTATAACATATTTCTTGCGGGTGTTAATTCTATCCACCACTAACAAATTCTTTATATTGTTTTCTAGTGTGAGACAATTATGCAGGCAATCTCTCTCTCTCTCTCTGTAAATTATATTTCAGACAATTATTGTTTTCTTTCGGTAAATTATATTTCGTTGCGAAAACATTTCCGACGGAACAAATCTATATGAAGAATATTTTTGTTTCCGATACTCTTCATTTGCAAGACCAAAATGCCAATTGAAGTTTTTTTTCTCTTTCATGGGTGCTTCAGTCAAACACGTGACCGTGAAAAAGCAGTCTACTTTAGTTTCAGTATGGCAAAAGTCGCATAGCCAGGCCTAACGATGACAAAGAATTTTAAGGGCTTGAATGAAGCGTTGCCAAGTGCTCTTAAGAAAAAGGGAGCACCAAAAAATTTAACTGACTCTCAAGTATATATCTATAGGAAGTGGTCGCACACCTTGTAGCTGTAGATTCACAAAGAGAAATGGATTACTTAGTTTTGATCTTGTGTTTGTACCTCCTCTGGGGCTTGTTCCAAGCTCTCTCCTTCGTCGCCAGGGGAGGCCGAAAAGCTCGGCCCTCCAACCTCCCCCCCGGTCCACGGCCTCTTCCGATCATCGGCAACCTCCACCAGCTCGGAGATCTTCCCCACAAGTCCCTCGCAAAGCTCGCTCGCACTTACGGCCCCATCATCAAACTGGAACTCGGCTTTGTGACCACGGTGGTGATCTCTTCACCGGCGCTCGCCAAAGAAATCCTCCAAACCCACGATGCTGTCTTCTCGAATCGTATGGTTCCAAATTCGGTCATGGCCCACGACCATGACAAATTTAGCGTGGCCTGGGTACCTGTGTCTCCTCTCTTCCGATACCTCAGGAAAATATACAACTCGCAAATCTTCTCCAGCAAGAAACTCGACTTGAACCAACACCTTCGCAGCAAGAAAGTGCAAGAGCTGATCACCTCTGTTAGGAAATGCGCGTGCGCTGGTGAGGCAGTGAATATCAGTGAGGCAGCTTTCAGGACCAGCCTTAACGCAATATCGAACACAGTTTTCTCTTTGGACATGATGGAACCTTTACATCCAGCCAGAGAGCTGAAGGAAGTGGTGTGGCAAATTGCGGCTGAGGCTGGAAAGCCAAACCTGGCAGATTACTTTCCCGTGCTCAAGAAAATCGGCCTGCGTGGTCCGAAGCATCGCCTCGAGGTGCATTTTGAGAAGATTTTCAACATCTTTGACGACCTGACCCAGAGAAGGTTGCAGCTGAGGACGGAGACTGGTTCGGATAAGTGTAATGATGTTTTGGATAATCTTCTTGATTTAGTTGAAGATAAAAATGAGACCCTGGACATGTCCTTAGTCAAGCATCTATGTCTGGTACTGTGTCCATTTATTATGCTTCCTTATTTGTGATGATTAATATCTAATTTCTAGGTACAAAATCTTTTATTTGCGACATTGATCACGCAGGACATATTCGTCGCCGGTGGCGAAACCACTGCGAGTACTCTGGAGTGGGCGATGACAGAACTACTTTGCAACCCAGAAAAGCTAGTAAGAGCCCAAGCGGAGCTCCATCAAGTCATTGGCAAAGGCAAGCAGATTGAAGAAGCCGATATTCCTCGCTTACCCTATTTACAAGCTATCGTAAAAGAGAATTTCCGACTTCACCCAGCAGCTCCTCTCCTTGTTCCTCGGAAATCTGGAGAAGATTTCATTGCAGGCGGTTTCACGATTCCAAAGGGTGCACAAGTCCTCATCAATGTATGGGCGATGGGTCGAGATCCTAGCATTTGGGACGATCCAGACAAGTTCATGCCCGAGAGATTTCTTGGATCGGATATCGATGTTAGGGGACAAAACTTCGAGCTCCTACCTTTCGGTGGCGGCAGGCGGATTTGTCCGGGATTGCCATTGGCCTTGAGAATGTTGCCTTTGATGCTCGGCTCGCTCATCAATATTTTCAATTGGAGGCTCGAAGAAGGCGTTACCCCTGAGAACATGAACATGGAAGACAAGTTCGGAATGGCCATCCAACGGGCTGAATCTCTAAAAGCTGTGCCCATTCCTGTATGAAAGAAGAAAAAGAAATGCATGTTGGGTTTACATTCTACTTAATTATGATCTATTATGTTCGTCGCGTGGTTTGATTATAGAAAAAAATCAATAAAATATTTTGGTATAATGATACAAATGGTCCATGAACTTTGACTCAATGTGCAATTTGATCCCTGAACTTTTAATTTGTCCAATGTAGTCCCTGAACTTTAGCCTAATGTTCAATGTGGTCCCTGAACTTTTAATTTGTTCAATGTGGTCCTTGGACTTTTGGTACATATTCAATTTAGTCCCTAAATTATATGAAAATATTTAATGTAGTCCGACATTGAACAAATTAAAAGTTCAGAAATCAAATTGCATATTGGGCCAAAGTTCAAGAACCGTTTGTGTCATTTTCCCAAATATTTTTGATAAAATGCACACATTTTCTTGAATTTAGATCCCGCAAAAACAAAGATACGAGTGAATATAATTTCCCAGTTTCCATGAGGGAAAAAACTCAAAATCTGCACAAGTAACCCTCAATGTCGCCTCTAAGTCCTCAACGACAAATGACCCACGAAAGAAACTGTCACATAACAAAAATAAGCTAAACAACTCACAATCCCCAAATGGCATCTTAATTTCAAAGGAAAAAACGAACATAACCCTTAAACCCCTAAAACTGAGAAGCTCCTAAATAAACTCAAAATTAGTCTAAAGTGACCCGACTAACACCTAAACCGAAAATATATTCTCATTATCAAAATAACCCAAAAAATTCGAATACCCTCAAATAACCCTAAATGTGCAATAACCCGACTAAACCAAAATTAAACTCCACAAGTCTCAAATAACATAATCTAAATCGTAGAAACCAAGAATAGAACCGAAAACCCTTAACGTCCAAATAACTCATAATCCCAAATAATATCTAAACTGCCACAAACACGTGAATAACCCTAAATCTTTAAATAACCGAGTCTTAAATAGATTGCAGTTGATTTGAGTACGGAATAACATCAATATATCCCCAAAACCATTGATACACGCTCAACGCCGAAATATCCCCATTACTCTAAATACTCTAAAATAATCACTGCACAAAAAATGTAACCTCTAAACCAGAATTATAGCTCCTAAATTAACATTCCATAAGTTTCAAATAAACATTTAAATTTATTAAAATTTCAGCATCACTTCAAATATTAAAAGAAAATGCATAACACACGACCTCATCCAACCTAAAATTGAGGAAAAATTGTCCAAAAAGTCCTAAACCTATTGTACGGCGGCCAATTCAGTCATAAACCTTTCAATTTTGCCAATTTAGTCCTAAACCTTTTAAAAAATTGCCAATTCAATTCTAAAACTTTCAATCGTACCAATTTAGTCATAAACATATTAACTATTTGCCAATTTAGTCCTAAACCTTTTAACGAATTGTCAATTTAGTCCTTTTAACTAATTTTGACCGGAAATCACTGACGTGGTGATCCAGTCGGTGCTGGCCGTCCTACGCGGCACTAACGTGAATAATTTTATATTTTTTTAAAAAAATTGAATTTTTATTGATTATTTTATTTTTATTCTTTTCTTTTCTTTTTCTTTCTTCTTCGTTGAGCCAGCGACTAGGCTGGCGGAGGTGGCCAACCACTGGGCGAGGGTCAGCAACCCCCGCCGACCCCTGGGTGAGGGCCGCGGAGCCCTCACCTATCATGGGCAAGGGCATCGTGGCCCTCGCTAGATCTGGGCTAGGGCTTGCAAGCCCTCGCTATGGCAAGCAATGGCCTGAGTGAGGGCTGCAACACGTTCGCCATCGGCCCTTGCCCGCGGGCCAGCAGGGGTCAACGGCCCTCACCTAGTGTCTGGCCACCTCCACCGACCTTCATTGGTTCAATGAAGAAGAAGAAAGGAAAAAAAAAGAAAGAAAAGAAAAGAAAAGAATAAAAGCAAAATAATCAATAAAAATCAATAAAAATTTCAAATTTTTTTTAAAATAGAAAATTATCCACGTCAACGCCATGTAGACGGCCGGCGCCAACTGGACCGCAACGTCAGTGATATCCGGTCAAAATTAGCCGAAAGGACTAAATTAGCAATTCGTTAAAAAGTTTAGAACTAAATTGGTAAATAATCAATAGGTTTAGGACTAAATTGGCACGATTGAAAGGTTTATGACTGAATTGGCAACATTGAAAGGTTTAGAACTGAATTGGCCGCTGTACAATAGGTTGAGGACATTTTTAGCATTTTTTTGTGTACAATTTTTAGTGAAAAACCAAGTGTACGTCAACTAAAGTTTATCATAACTCTCATCCTATTCTCATTTTATTTTGGTCACAATCTGGCCAAAGAAATCTCATTCTATTATATTCATTTTCTTTCATTTTTCATTCCATTCTTTCGTTCATTCTACTTTGTTATACCAAACATAGTCTTACGTGCTGCAAGAGAATAATAATATTAATAATAGAAGTAAATTATGATTGGTTTATGAAGTTAAAATGCAATGAATTGTTATCGAGTATCAAAGATGACATACCTATTTAAAGTTTCGAGCGTGTTTGCTTATGAAAAATAAGAAAATTTTCAAATATTTAAAAAAAATTATCATTGCTTAGGAAAATTCTCATCATCAATAATACTACATGTCTAAACAATATTGCTAACGACAAAATTAATTTCCGTCAATTCGTTTTTGCTATCGATGCAACAAATTATTTTTAGGGATAAGTGTACACTGCAAGTCCTGAAAATCGTCACGTAAATGCAATCGAGTCTCGAAACTTTTGAAATGTGCAATTCAATCTTAAAATTTATCATAAAAGTATAATTAAGTCCTAAAAATCTCAAAAAAGTCCAATCAACGGAAGTTCAATTAAGGACTTATTTATCAAATTTATTATATTCAGAGAAAGAAAATGTGGAGCGGGGGAAGAGGATTTTGAACGTGCCTTTGGGGTGCGCACTTTCTTGCAGTTTTCCCCTCTACGCAGTCGCATCGTCTTCCTCGATCTCCTCCTCTGCAACACGAACCGAACTTCGAGCACTTGCCCGTCGAAGGAGATGGGGGATCTCTCTCGGAACATCGATCTGCAGAAGCTCGTTTCCTACAGCGACGACCTCGCCCAGGTCCTCAGGGACGACAATGGCGCCGCTAACCTCGCCCTGTGCCTCCGCCACTCCGGCGCACTCCGCTCCTCCTGCGACGCCGACCTCGCCGGCCTCCGGTCCTCGCTTCTGGGTCAATGATCTTTCCGCCCCCTTTTTTCGCACGCCCTCCTTTTGTTCCCGCCTTGTCGATTTTGATGGCGGGTTCGGGTCGGAGACGGGCCGCGCCGCGGTTCTGCGCTTCTCGGGGGGTGTCGGGGTCTCGTTGGGCGTCGCGGCTTGTGATTGCGTTTGATGGGGTGCGACTGTTTCTTGTTCCCAATGGCATGATTTGAGCTGAAAACATTCGATTGGAAGGTTTTTGATTAGGTTCCGGTTCGTGCCCGAATTTTGCACGGCATGGTGTCATTTGAAGTGTGAATTGCTGTTCTGTAGTGGCATTTCCGGGTCTCTTTCCAAAAAAGTTCTTCTTTTTTCCGATACGGATGACAGGATCGAAGTGTGGGTAGTTCAGGGGGTCCGGGGCTTTTGAGATGCTATCTGGCCAAGTTTTGCTTATCGGTTATTTGACAATGAAATGAAGATGCGGGCAATTTGTTTGGGCATATCCTCTTTTACTCCATGTTCATCTCTAGTACTTTGCTTCCCTGCTAATTCTGTAGAATCTTCTGTGACTGAGGAAGAAATGCATAATAGTCTGTCTTCACTATCACAGCGTGTAATGCAGTGTGTTCGGTTCTGCTATAGTTTTCATTACTCGTATTTTTGGATTCCCCCATATTGAATATGGACGTCCTTACACGATACTAAGATGTTAGCCGTCCAATTTGTGCTACCCATGAGTTTAGTTATATATATGTAGAGTTCTGAGTTTGATTTTGTATTTACACAAGTAAATTGCAGGCCACACACCACACTGACTAGAGATATCGGTACCTGCGTTAAATCAGTTAAAGGAAGCTTTGTCTTTTCTGATATAAGGCTAAAGGCATTTCTTATTTCGTGAGGTCATGAGATCTGATTTGGAGACTCCTCAAGAACATGAGCCATTTTGCAGATGTGCTTGAACGATCTGTTTATTATGATGTTAGTAGAACAGATATTTTGAAGCCCTTTGTGATGCCTGCACATTGTTCAAGTAAACTATATATTAAGCGTGTAGTTTCTAACCCGTTGAATCACATAGAGGATGATAAAGGAATATACTGGCTGTTAGCCTATTTGATTCTTTTTCCTTGCTTTTTCCCTACTTAATTATGCGAATCGTTCATCTTAAACAGAATTTCTTGTTGGATTCTCCCTTGCTGTCTTTAATTTGGTAGCCTACTCTGTTATATAGATCAGAATATGGTTTTTTCCTCTTTTTTCTTTTGCATATTTACGATTTCTCAGAGTAGGTTCTTCGTTCAGTGGTAATTACGATTACTTCTTTGTGTGACAATTCATCTCCTATCAATCTTATAGATTGAATGACTATTGGGATCAGGGGTGTGTTCTGAGAGTTATTGAATATTGTGACTTGTGATTGTCTTAAATGAATGCAAGTATTTCACTCTGACAGCCTGACGGGCTATCATTGGAGACATTTCTTGAATAACTATACTTGTGAAGACATCCATGAAATCCTCAAGTTCGCATTGTGTCATTTTAATTAAAAATATTAGATTAAATGCTGGTATGTCAAAATTAAATCTTGCTAGTTTGCTTTTTGGTTATTGGCAATGAAATGAGAACACAGGCTATTTCTTTTGGACCCCCTTTTCCCCCGTTTATCTGTCGTACGGAGCTTTGCCACTAATTTTGTAGAATTTGACATGACTGAGGAAGAAATGCAAAGTTATCTCTATTCACAATGACTTAACAATCTTGACCAACTTCATCAGAAGATGGTTTGATTTGATCATATACCTCTTTTATGCTCTCTCTTTATTCTGAATTTTTTGTGGTTTAGCAGAGTATGGGGAAAAGATTGATGCTTGCAAGAAGAAAACTGAAGCGGTGAGATCTGAAGTTGCTGGAGATGTGGATATCGACCAACTCGAGAAAGAACTGCAAGAGGAACTGGAGAAGGAACAACTGCTTATGGAGGATTTGAGATAAGTACCTAAACAATTTTTTTGTCATAGCATTGATGATCTTTTTACATGTTCGTTGACAACAAATTGATATTCAATTTTGTCTTATATATGTACCAACACAATTGTCACCAACGAAATTAATGAGCTAGACCTTTCAAGGATTTCCATTGAGGAGAGGAAGCAAGCTTTGAAGAAACTTGAGCAACATGAGCGGAGAGAACAGTAAGTTCATATGCAGAAGCTTTTTATTTCTTCAAATTTGTACTAACTCTACAAACTGGGAAAATGCGAATGGAATTGAAGATAACAAAATCTTAACTTGTGTCTGGCATTATAAGTTTGCATGGGCATTTCCAGATATTCTTGCTATTGTGAAAAAAGCAAGGCTCTATATGCCTCTCTAACTGTCCATAACAGTCTGTTGCTAGCTAATTATTTCCAAAGAGCCATTAGTTTGCATCATCATGTTATTGGATGACTTGTGTAGTCAAATAGACAGACATCAGAATGGTCATGCAACCTTTTCTAAATCCATAGAATCCGCGATATTACATTTCATGTGATTAACACAAGAAGTTTAAAATGCTAGACAGCCCAATCATGTTTGTGCTACTAAAGCTGATCTCTGTTAAATGATGGGTTAGGATGAGGTTAGTGGCATTGGCTGTTCTACACATTTGTGCATTATTAGGATGTAGTTGGCAGCTTGCGTGCGTTCTCCTTGTTCATAGTCCAATATTTGAGCTAACTGGAAAATTGTCTCCTGTGTCCTTTTGCTATAACTCTATTACCATTGAAGAGGGGTGTAAGGGCTGCAGATTTTTATACAAGCGTCAATGAGAAGTGTGCGTTACCCGATCTTCAGCATTAATTCGCACATAGAGAAGTCTAATTAATAGTCCACTCTTAAAGTAAATCTCCTATTCCTTCCCCTCCATAAAACCCCAAATTTATAATTCTCTCTCTCTCATGCTTGCTCGCTTGCCAGCATGGGCACGTCTATAATATTTATCTACTGGTGCTTTTAAGCATCAAACCATCTGCTGCTACCTACTGCTTCCCCAAATCAACAAACTAGCTAGCATTGATCTACCAATCTTATGGTCACCTCTAGTTGTAAGTAGTCAAACTGGATGATAGTTTCTTGCAGAGCAAGATTGCTTGTTCAGATGTTGCAGCCTGTCTTCTTATTTGGAAACAGCATTCTCCTTTGCTTTAGGAGTTGTATACATCTGGTCCTCCAAGCGCTGAAGCCTAAAAACTATTGTTTCAACGACTTAACCCCCTAAAATGCAAGAAAGAAGGGAAAGCGCAATGAGTAGTAGCTATGAAGTAAGAGCATGCTGTCAAAGCCATGTAGGTCCAGAAAATAATCTCTTTTTAAGCTGCTACCTTATCATAATTTGAACGACATTGTGAAAGTTTCGCGATTGTTTGCCCAAATGTGTTTTGAACCCTCAAGTGTAGCTTAAGAACGAGCCAGAATGAATATGACCCACGATTGTGGCCAATGCATCAAGTTTACTTGTTTTCTTGCTTCTAGTATATATGTTTTATCTGATCGTATCCTTATATCCTTCATTCTTGTGCACTCTAAGGATGTGCATGCCCTGTGCATGAGAGCTTAGGTTGGTTTGAGCTTGTCTTTGTGCATTCTTGTGCAGGAATAGGCAATGAAACTTGCATGATATGAGGCTCAAAGTTATTTTGCTTTCTTTTAAATTGATCTTACAGCATGACTCGTTCAATGTAGCCTTCTCTGCCCCTTTGTACTCTTTTGCGGTCTCATGCTCAATGTCCACCCACAATAAGATTCTCCCGTGTTAATCCAAAATTAATATCCTCTACTTTTACCTGATTTCGCAGGATGAGTCTTTCGATGTATGCTTCTGTGACGAATATCATCCCCAACTTGGGTGATTGCTCCAAAATTTCAGGATGTATCCTTTCAATTTTTTCTTGTTCGTGTACTCCAATGCAGTGGCACTGACTAGAGTTTCACGGTCGTCCCCAGATCAGTTGTTCCTTGAATGTCAATAACCACAGATATTGTTGACAGGGAGAAAAGGGTGGTGGATAGATTTGAGTTCGACTCGACAGAGATGACTGCCTTTGACACGTGCACAAATATCTGGAGGATGATTAGTAACTCATAGGTACGGTATTCCACACCGTCTACCTCTACATTCATCTGGCTGCCGAATATTCTACTCAAGCTCCTCTTCGCACATTGTCTCTCTCTTTTCACATTACAGGTGGAGGGTAGGTGAATGATCTCCTTCGGGAAGAAGCCGAATGGAATATCCTCCAAATCTTGGGGGATCGGTCGATTCCTCTCTTCATCAGTGAAAGTACTAATAGGAACGAAGTGCAAATCAGCACTTTTTTCCGGTATGACATCTGTTTATTTTCGAGAAATCGGGATGGACCCCGGAACGCAGTCGAGGTGGGGATGGGGACGGAATTGAGCGCTTAACCGTCTTTCCGGGTCATTCTGTTTTAACAAACTATGGCTAGGTGTAGGGAAAGAACTTGTATGTGCAAAATGCCGGCTTTTGTGTGTTCTTGTGAATCATACCGTGCTAGCATCTTTTGAGGTGACATGAGTAGTTGATCCACGTTTATTTTTTTTCTCTTTTATTGATGAGGTCGTTCTAATTTATTTATTTTTAAATAAAGGCATCACGGGGTTTTAAATTTTCTTACAAATTTAACTCACTATTAGTAGACTAAAGTAAAGGGTTTTAACAAAAAGACAAGAAAATAAATTTTATGTTGCAAGAATCATTGGAGCATGTTCTTTATTTCGATAGCGCAAGTAAATTCAAACACATATTTCGCACTCTAGGAGTTCATTTATGTGTCTGCCTTGTGGATACGATACATCTTGGGCATTTCTAATTTTTGGAATTTTCGCCTCAATTAGCAAAGTGCCGGAGAAACTCTTGAGTTACGAACCGGTCATGAAAACACAAAGGAGGATGCTTGGTTACAATTTCGAATTCGTTCTCATATGTTTGCAAAAGCTTGATGCAAAATGGACGAACCTTTGTTCGAACCTCTCCGAGCTATATATCCCCGTTTAATTCTAGTCACCGAATAAATGAAACGAAACTTTCGTGAATGAAAACTCTGGACAATGAAGGTTAAAATCGTAATTCCACTCTTATGTACTTAGGAACCGCGCTTTGGATGGTGTACAGACCAAAGTTGTGAGAAAAAACGTACCTTAAAAGAACAATCTAACAATAAATTACATAGGCCGAAGTGGAATTTTCTAATGTGAAATTAAAAGATGGGATGCATAAAAAATTACACATAACTTTGGTCTTGATGCTTTCGGGTTTCGAACCATTCCGGACATCGCTCGCACTTTCTACGAACATATTATTAATCGACTTAATTTCTCCTCACGAATTATAAATTAGTAATTAAATAGCAACATCCACGGTCCACACTATGTCATTTTGGCAAGTATATATTTCAATCTTTGATTTTTTTTCGCTTCATTTTAGATATAGGTACCTCTCTTATTTCGTTATTTAAATTTAATATGAAGAAATTGTGGGAAAATTATTTGTCTATCGAGACAAGAGTAGCATTCGAAAAGCATAAAATTGTACCGAAATCACAATTTTGTTTTCTTTTCCTGATCGCGAGGCATAATATTAATTCGATTTACTCATCGACAATGTATTTGTTTTAGGCGAATCAGAATCGGAAATGATATATAAACAAGCAAATTTTATTAGCAAATAAATAATAATAATTTCACATAAACAACATAATCAAACCTTTGTAATGACAGGTCTAGACCCGTCAAACGGATAGGTCAGATCAAGTTTGGGTCGGGTCGAATATGGGTCGATCCATATTTGACCCATTTAACCCATTTTAATCCATTTTCTTACAATGCAAATATATTGACTCATACCCAACCCGACCCGATCCATACCCGACTTGACCTAACCCATCCTACTAGAACACATTAATATTTTAAGAAAACTCATACCCACCCATTTAATTCACTTTAAGCTCTTCACATGTACATGTTATTTGAATAAAAAATCCACATCAAATTAAAAAAACAAATTAAATAATAAAAAAATTAGTAAATAGAATAAAAAAATGCAAAAGAAAAACCTATAAATTAAAATACTTATAAATTTGACCTAAAAAATAACTTATAAAGAACTATAGGCTAAACCCATTTTGTAACTCAGATTTAACTAGCCCAATTTCGTATGGGTAACTCAAGTCAAGTTGACAACCAATCAATCCAAAGAAAGAGCAAATCACCCGTACTGCAAGAACTATATTGCATCCTAAAATGACCACCAACAAAACGAAAGACAGTTTGAAATAGAAAACTACAGACCATTCACTAGAGCAAATTCTTGAAACAGAATATGCGATGTACAAATCGCATTTTCCACATAATAGAAGACTAGTGAAGTACATGATGTTCTCACTAGTGCCACTTCATACATAGATAGCGACAATAATATCAACCACATTGGAAAACCATACTCTAAAAACATGGAGTTCGCATCAAGTTGAGCTCGGAGCACGTGGTATCAGCTTGCTTTCCGTGCTTTTTGACCTAATCATCAATGCACACTACATTCACATCCACTCATACTTCGAACACAACCGTCTACGAACACTCCAATCAAGAACTTAGCCAAAAGCACGTCCACCAAAGCTGCATTCAGAGGCCTCGGTTCGACGAACAAATTATTAGGGCGAGCTTCCCAGATTCGACGGTGTCGGAGAGAAGGATCTTGACGAAGTGAGGACTCTCAAGAGGAGGTGCAGTCGCCATATCTGGGTCGACACCTCCATCTTCTCTCAGTCGCCATATCTGCTGCTCCTCGCCGGATTATCAAAAAAACTATCTAGAAAAGCATTTGAGCATTAATGCAAATTCCCATTAAAAAAAAAGAAAAAAAGGAAAAGAAATAAATAGCAGCCGGCGAGGAGCAGCAGCAACAATCCGGCGATCGCTTATATGACCAGACCGGCGACGAGGGCGCCGATCGCCACCGACCCGGCAAAGCCGAAGCCGAGCCTGCCGCTCACGGCCCCGCTGTGCCGGGAGCTGGCGGCCCGGCCGGCGGCGTCGCGATCGACGACGGCGGAGGTACCGGCGGGGCGGTCGGAGAAGGCGACGGGGACGCCTTGGGCGAGACGGAGGGCGACGGCGCGGGAGGCCCCAGCCTGCCGCTCGGGGCCCCGCCGTGCCCCGGCGCTGGCTCCCTGGCCGGCAGCCTCGCGATCGACAACGGCAAAGGTACCAGAGCGTGGGCCCCGGGCGCGGGAGGCCGGGGCAGGAGGGGCGGGGTGACGGGGGAGGCGGTGGGGGGCGGAGGCGGGGGCGGGGGCGACGGCGGGGGGGAAGCCGCGGGGGGCGGAGGAGACCGGGGGGGAGCCGCGGGGGGCGGCGGAGGCGAGGGAGACCGGGAAGACGCGGCAGCTCCTCGGGGAATGGATTCGTCAGCTCCTTGGGGATTGGTCGTGGTCGTACGAGTGATGGGAGAAGGCGACGGGGAGGTGTGGGGGACGGCGAGGGTGGGGACTTGGACGGGGAGGGGCCCTGCGCCGCCGCCAGGCCGACGAGGAGGACCGCCATTGCCGCCAGAGAGAGCAGCGAGCTCGAGCCACCCATGGTTGAAGAGCTTCTTAGAGAGAGAGAGAAGCTCTGTAGCGAGAGTGAGAGAGAGAGGGCCTGAGGGGCTTCTGGTGCGTTATGCGACGGCGAGCGCGCCGGTATTTATAGAAGGCTTTCTGCGCTTCGGGCGGGGACGGGCTGTGCCTGACCGTTGGATTGACCCCCCGGGGGTCGATCCGACGGCGGATGATCCTTCGCGCGCTCGCCGGCCGAGTGGCCAATCAAATCACGCGGGTTTTGGTGGGGGGCGGGGCAAGTGGCGGCGACAGCTGTGATCGGGTACAAACTCTGCAGCATCGACTGATCGGGTAATATGTTTGAATAATGTTTCCGCTTCCCAATACGATATGCTCCGGCCCGGCAACTTCCGGGAAGTTCCTACCGACATCTCGAGGATCAAGCTGCTTTTGATCATTTTTTTTGCAAATCTAAAAAGAAAATTTTCTTTTATAAAAAATAGGAAAAAGAAAGCTAAGAATTACAAAAATCCAAAATTCAAAACGAAGCCAATCAATACCACCGACGATCCCATTAAGTTCTTTTGATCATTTTTTGGCAAGATTTTTTGTTTGCTTGCTCATATTCCCATTCAAACTTCTCCCCGTTCCCATTAAGTTCTTTTCCTATCGAATCGAACGAAGTCAGTGAGAGAAACTTTTCAAAATTGAATCGAGCGACGATGCAAACGACCCGCGACCCACCGCGCCTCCCCGAGAGAATGCGCAAAAAATCTGAGGCGAAACCGGCGAAGATTCGACAGAGAAGGTCGGTGTCACGTCCCGACCCGGAATCAAGATCGATGCTTACTGATCAATCCCGACCCCGTTCGGACTCGTGACTCGCGGAAATATGTTAGTGCGCCCCGTTCATTTTAATCAATGCGCAAGCGGAAGCAAATAGAAACAAACAAGACAACATGAGTAATATGAGCAAACATCGCACGTTATATTTACATGATGTGTGCTTATCTTCACAAGCTTTACTCTCGGGCCATGCAAACCGCACACATATATTTTACATGCCCATTTCACTTACTCAACGTAAGTATAATCGACCAAATAACAGAAAAACGGCCCAAACAAACCATATTACAATTCATCGCAACTTTCTTTTCCAATATTAGGAAATTCACTTACTCACCGTAACACTAGAACATGTGAGAATACGTGAGAAGAAAGAAGGCAAGTGACGTGTGGTTTGAGCACGAAAAGGCTTGAGTACGGGAAAAACGGGGTTTCGGGCGAGTTTCTAATGTGGCTTCCTAGTTGGCCGAACAAAGCAAGAGGAAGAAGGATGGTCGGCGAGTGTTGTAGGTGGGCTTGTGTGTATGTGTGTGGGCATGAGAGAGGGGCTTCCTCACGTGAGGACTTCTCCATTTATAGAGGGCCAATACTACGAAAAAAAGACAAATGCTATCATGAAATGACCTCAAAAGTCTAATAGTCAATTTAATGCATTAATGAACCATGGCCAAAGAGACAGGATGAAGTTTAAAATGGCCAAATAGACATTCATGTGATTAACACAAGAAGTTTAAAATGCTAGACAGCCCAATCATGTTTGTGCTACTAAAGCTGATCTCTGTTAAATGACGGGTTAGGATGAGGTTAGCGGCATTGGCTGTTCTACACATTTGTGCATTATTAGGATGTAGTTGGCAGCTTGCGTGCGTTCTCCTTGTTCGTAGTCCAATATTTGAGCTAACTGGAAAATTGTCTCCTGTGTCCTTTTTGCTATAACTCTATTACCATTGAAGAGGGGTGTAAGGGGCTGCAGATTTTTATACAAGCATCAATGAGAAGTGTGCTTTACCCGATCTTCAGCATTAATTCGCACATAGAGAAGTCTAATTAATATTCCACTCTTAAAAAGTAAATCTCCCGTCACGCCCCGAATCCCATCGAGCTCGCGACATCCCGCTACAGGTCGAATTTGTGCGACGTCCCTGGAACGTCGCCGACCCAACCCAAACATCAGAGCCACATGCGAAAGCGGATATAAAAACCCCCGGACTAAAAGATGACGACAA